TCCTGAGTCTTTGTATGAGGATACAGAGGCTCTTAACTCATGGTTTCTCGACACCTGTCAAACTGCCATAGACATTGCGGTTCCATTAAAGATCAGGCAGCAGAAAGCTAAATCAGAGCCCTGGTTGAATGAAACAACCAGGACTGCCAGACAGAATTGTCGAAGAGCTGAGCGAAAGTGGAAAAAGGACAAATTGCAAATATCTTTTCAATTACTGAGAGATTGTTGGCGTCATTACCAAAACACTGTGAAAGAGGCTAAAAGAAGATACTTTTCCGATATTGTTCTTTTAAACTGTGGTAAGCCTCGTGTGTTGTTTAAAGTTATCAACTCTGCTCTGAATGCACCACAGACTGTGATTGAGGCCTCCCCTGCTGTGTGTGAGAACTTTCTTCACTACTTTATTGATAAAGTCACGTCTACCAGAGCACTTATTTCACCTCCTGCTTCTGATCCTTCGGTGTTTGTCCCCTGCTCTGCTGTGTTTGACATGTTTGAGCCTGTGACCCTGCCTTTTGTGCAGGAGATTGTGGGTCACTTGAAGCCTTCAGGGTCTCCAGATGATACTGTCCCACCCCGATTTTTTAAGGAGGTTTTTCCCACTATCGGGCCATTGTGTCTCACAATTATTAATAGCAGTCTGTCCTCTGGAGTAGTCCCTTTAAATCTTAAACATGCAGTCGTGCAGCCTTTATTAAAAAAACCTGGGCTGGATCCTATTGTTCTGTCGAATTTTAGATTGTTTATTCCCAGCTCATAGACTTTTTAAATGAACAAAATGTTCTTGAGATTTTCCAATCTGGTTTTAAAACATTGCACAGCACAGAATCAGCGCTTTTAAGAGTTTTTAATGACATCTTTTTAGCTACTGACTCTGGACACTGTGTTGTCCTTGTACTTTTAGATTTGACTGCAGCATTTGATACAGTGGACCATGAAATCCTGATTGCTCGTTTGGAGTAGTCGGTGGGCATCAGGGGCTTAGCACTGGAATGGTTCATGTCCTACCTGTCACATCGGACTTTCTGTATCAGCCTTGATGAATCTGTGTCCTCCACTGCTCCTCTCTCATGTGGGGTCCCACAGGGCTCCGTGCTTGGCCCTCTTTTATTTTCTCTCTATCTACTCCCACTTGGCTCTATTCTCAGGAAACATGGCATTTCCTTTCACTGTTATGCTGATGACAGCCAGATTTATGTCCCCCTCAAAAAGGCTGATTCCTACTCTGTTGAACCACTGTTAAAGTGTTTACATGACCTTAAAGCTTGGATGTCTTTAAATTTTCTGAATTTTAATGAAGAAAAGACAGAAGTCATAGTCTTTGGTGGCACATCTGTGACCCCCCCCTAGTTGATCTCGGTTCTCTAGCGCAATACAGTAAACCAATTGTAAGAAACCTCGGGGTAAAAGTGGACTCAGACCTTAAATTTGACAGCCAGATAAAAGCTGTAGTAAAATCTAGCTTTTTCAAGCTAAGGCAGCTGGCAAAGATCAAACCAGTCCTTCAGAGACGGCACTTTGAGACAGTAATCCACGCCTTTGTGACCACTCGGCTGGATTACTGTAATGCACTTTATGTGGGGATTGCTGGGTCCTCAATTGCTCGTCTTCAACTGGTTCAAAATGCTGCTGCACGTCTTTTAACTGGCACATGCAAGTACGAGCACATTTCACCTATTTTAGCTTCACTCCACTGGCTGCCCATCCATTTTAGGATTCATTTTAAAATTCTTTTATTTACTTTTAAAGCCTTGAATGGCCTTGCCCCAATTTACCTCTCTGAGCTTCTGCACCCCTACACTCCCAGCCGATCTCTCAGGTCAGCTGATCAGCTGCTCCTGACAGTGCCTAAAGCAAGGCTTAAGCTCAGAGGGGATCGAGCGTTTTCTGTTGCATCTCCAAAACTCTGGAATGGATTGCCGCTGCACATTAGACAGGCCACCTCTCTGTGCCATTTTAAAACTCTTCTTAAAACCCACCTCTTTTCTTTGGCTTTTAACACCATGTAGGGTATTGATTTTATGTACACATGTTGATTTTATGTACACATGTTGATTTTATGTATACACATGCATATTTTTATCCTGTGCGGGCAGTGCTTTTATTTTATTTTATTTTATTTTATTTTATTTACTTTTATTTATTTTAGTTATTTTATCTTTTTGTGCAGCACTTTGGAAACCTTGTGTTTATTTAAACTGTGCTATATAAATAAAGTGGATTGGATTGGACTCTAAAACTTGAAAATGTGGTAGGGCTGTTGGAGCCTAAAGGAAAGCACACAAACTCCTTTACGACTAGACAGACGTAAACAAACAATCAGATACTTAAACAGTTCACTTCAACAAATAAAAATGATGCAAAACATTGAAAAGATCAATTATATATGTATACCTCACAGAATATACACATTCACATTACTTTGAGTTGCATGACTATAAAAGCAGGAGTTTATTGCTCATGTATTGTCTAAATGCCAAGATGGAAAAACAACAGCAATGGTGTAAAAGAAACGACTGCTTCTGCCTATCAGTCTGACAGATTTACATTTGAACCTGCCCTACATACCTGAATCAACAGCCTTATTAGCATGCAGTCAATCATTAGGGAATCTTTGGCCAAAGCCGAAGTACATAACAGTCATCATAATAGGTGCTGTCAAAATACGGCTGGCAGCAAGGAAGGAGATAGGAAGAGGTAGAGAGGAAGCAATTGAATAGGAACCTACTGACATTTCTTTAGCTGGGCATACACCGTGCGATTTATTTTTGCCCTTTTCATGCCGTCTTTCCAGTCGTGCAAGAATATATCGATCAGGCCAACTTTCAGCCTGATTGCGCATTTTGTAGTGTACGGGGGGTTACGCGACCACCTCCCGATCAGGAATCGTAAGGTCGGGAGAACATCAAACATATTTGATATGCAGTCGACCGCAGTGGGCAAATCGCTCATTCTTTTTCATCCTCTCAGACGAAAACACAGAAGCATGGCGGGGGTGTGGGTGAAATGGAGTCCTTTCTGTAAAATTCACAGACCTTATTAGCTACATTTGCTCCGCCATGTCTATGTCCAAATACGTCGTTGCCTTTTCTTTCTTAGGGCTTTCAGCACAAAATTGCACAAATTGCCAAGGCAACGCGTTTCACTTTAGTGAGCTTCATGTTCCTCTTCTATTAGTTTGGCTTCTGGCCAAGTAGCACCATCTCACTGCAGAGCTGAGTCCGACGTGGTATTTAGACGTACAGTGTGATCAGGTAGATCGCATCAGAGTGTCGTGTCGTACCGTGTGAGAACACACATCTTGAGCTGTGAAATCACACTGTACGACGAAACCCTGTAGTTGAGCGTTTACCTGAGTTTGAGAGCACTGTTATAAAAAGAAAGGCTATTCACATGAATAGCCTGTGAAAGTTTTTTTTTCTTGGTGTTGCCTTTCCAGTGACCCCCCTCCTAACATCTGAGGGGTAAGAAAAAACTAAGAGCTCCAACTCAGACTCAGAAGGCCTTGGTTATATGTTGAATGTTAAAAATTCATTACAGGACATTCAGACACTGAACAAGTCAAACTTCATTAAAATGGTTGTCAATAAAATGCTGGACTACCATTGGATCTATAATAGTGAAAAAATGACATTATTTACATTGCTTATATTTGTAGAAGACCAAGCCCAGCATATCAGTACCAACACCTCAGAGCAACTGTCTGATTATGTCTGTTGCAGCCAAAGTTGACTATGAAATCTGTTCTACTGCTGTATAACAGAGCAGCCAACAACAGAATTAGAAGTGAGTAAGAAAGACATTGATGTGTAGCAATGGTCCAGTTCTGCTGCTGTGAGACCTTAAAACAGGTGTAGTGTAAAAAATACAAACCTCACTTTACTGAAAGGTCCCCTCTGAAAATATGGGAGAGTTTGAAAGACGACAGTCGATGGAACATACCTCTTTTCCTCAATCATCTCTTCAATTACTTACAAACTTAGAGTTAGATTTAGCTGCTTTTCCACGGCCAACAAAAAAGACCTAAACTGAAGAAAATCTGATCTAAAAGGGTGAAAACTTTAAAAACAGGAATTTAAGTGTCCGAAACCCCTCAGTCACTCGAAGGCTGCCTGTGGTTTTGTTTCTCCTTTGTGAATCAAACTAAAGTAATTCCAAGTCAAGCTTATTTCCTGGTTTTAGTATTTTTCCTTTATCAAATGTGCTTTCAGCTAAATCCTTTGAATGAACCATTAATTAATAGATACATAATTGAAAATAATTAACAAATAAAGTAAAAACCAAACAGAGTCTGGAATAAGTGGATGTTTCTACCATAAATGAATGACTTAAATATTTTGGTGTTAAAGAGCTCAGTTGGTGGAGCACTCAAATGAATATTTGACCTTAAGGTGAGGCTGTTTAAGACTGACTGAAAGTGAATGATGCCTGAACTGTGCACAATTTTCTATTCCGGCAGAACCTTATTGGGTAGTTTAGGTGCTTCCAGTTTAATCCTCAGCAGAAAAAAAAAAAAAAAAAAAAAAACAGCTGATTTGTTGTAAGACAGACAGATGGATGAAGACCAAAAACCGAGGAGGATGATAAATGGGCCACACCATCAGATGCTCATCATCCTCTCAAACAGACAGACTGACACACGCACCATGTTAACACCTTCTTCACACAGAAATCTGTCTGCTTGCTCTGAGGAAAACTAAAGGGACAAAACAACCAATCGACAGGCAAGACGACTGAAGATCTCATGCACTGCAAAATAACTCGCCATCTCCTCAAACAGCGTCATCCTGCAGTGAAGCATGGAGTCCTGTTTGAAATGTCGCTGCTTTGTTTTCTTTTTTTAGGTAAACAGTTAAAAAAGCATTGCTCCTGATTGATCACATTAGGAAGAAGATAAGTTCTCCTTCAGCTGCAGAACAAGCTTTTGGTTTAGACGGCCGTTCTGTCACAACGTGTCACAAAACACAACTTGCCGTACGTCAAGCTGAGGCGGGGCTTACGTTTTGGCTCCCGACGATGTTGTCAAAAGGGAGCTCAGGACTCCAGGAGGCCTCGTTAAAGGTGGCGCTGCTGGCCCGCCGGTCGGCCGAGCTGGCTGCCTCCTTCATGATGTCCTCCGGCAGGGTGAGCAGGCTCTCCTCAGGTTGCTTTATCAGGTACGTCTCGATATTGTGGCGACGAAGGAAGTCGTTTCGGTCCTTCCCATGCCCTTCCTCCACCTCATAGTCACCATTTAAACAATCCAAAGCTGCTTTGGAAATGTGGATTCGCCTAAAACACAAGATTAATCTAATGTTAATGGAAGGCAGGTCAACATGTTTACAATATTTTTTAGTTCCAGAAATAAGACCACATTTTTCTAATTTGAAGCTTACCAAATGTTTTTGTAATTATAAGGGTAGACAGACACAGCTATTTTATGTAGGAACAGAAATAAAATCATTTTGGCCCCTATAAATTAACTCAGAATAACCATTAAACAAACAGGTCTTTAGTATTCTGATCTCCAACCGAGGGACAAAAAGTGAATTTGACGAGTTTCCACCCAGGGCAAAGCACCTCGGAGGCAAATCCAGGCAGAAAGAAGCAGCCAGTCAGTGAACTGTGGAGGTGTGAATGAAACAGAGCGCAGTGTCAGGTCAGTGGCTGAATGTCGCTGTGATCAAAGGTCACGTCCACTTTGTCACGCCACCCATTAGAGAAAGGTGTCCAATGTGTTAGATGTGATGAAAACATTCATGGTGGGATCTTTGTGGCTCAGTCTGACCTCCAGAGGACCGGCAGCTCCTTTTTGTTTCTCATATTATGCAGTGGATTTAGGTAAAGAACATGTTCAAGGTTACAACGCAGCTCAGATAACAGATTCTACCTGATTGTTGAAAAACAGCAGTTACTGATCAAAACAATTCTTCCTTCTTTGCAACCGAAATATGACAAGTAAAGTGAAGAAGTGTCATGCAAACAGTTGTGGTGTTTCTGCTTTAGTGTTCTAGATTGTTTCAGCAAGTTCCCCTAATGACATGCACCTGTTACTGCCTTGATTATTGTCCCTGTTTCACCTGTGCTAGGCACTGTTTAAGCCAGCCTTTTCCTGGGCTCTGGTGCAAGATTCTTGAAAACCTTCTAGCATTTCAAGCCTGCCACCCTGTTAGTGAACCTGATTGCATTTGCCTATTTGCCTCGCTGTTGTCAGAATCTCTAGTGGTTCTTGGTCTCTGGAAAAACTCCTTTGCCTGTTGCCTGACTCTGCCTCTCTGCCTAGCCCCTCTATACTTCTGCCCATCAGATTAATTTGGATTCCTAAACTCGGGACTGTACTCTGAATTTTGGCTACTGGATTGCTACACTGAAGTCTCTGCCTGCCTTTGTCTTCCAGTGTTCAATATTGAACTACATCTTGATCCTTTCCCTTTGTGGTTTCAGGAGAGTAACTTCTGCTTAGCAGCCATACCTCAAATCTCTCTTGTGGAGTCTAACAAGAGCTGTCTGAAAAGTCCTGGAATATTCCCATTCCACCTACGCCAGTTGCTACAATAAACTTTTCAAACGTCAACTCTGTGTGGTATAAATTATCGGTTCTTACACCAGTTATCCTTACAAGAAGGGAAAGAATTAGTCAGAAACCATTGTTTGTTTTTTTCAGCATCCTCCTGTTGTGTTTTAAACTGGATAAAGTGAAACTTTGGTTCCCTTACCCTGGTATGCCTCCAGACTCCAGCTTGTTGGCAATGTCCACGTCCCAGGACCAGACATCAAACTGCCATTTCCTGAGACCCAAGACGCCGCACAGCACTGAGCCCGAGTGGATCCCGATGCGCATGTCGATGTCGTGTTTTGTACGTGATCTGACATATCTGAAAAGGGGGATAGATTAGACAATCATTTAACAATGATCAGACTCATACCTCAACATGAGGGATTTGTGTGCTCATCCTCCTTTAGAATGGCTCTTCATCACAACCATCCCCAATTATAGTCATTTCCATCTTATGTATCCCTATGTAAACACATTTTAGAGCTCTCTCGTCTTTAGATCCTGTTTTTCTTCCTTCATTTTAATAAGTCTCATTATCTTAATTATCACTGTTTATACTCCTACCCACCCAATAATCACATTAAAGCAGTAATTAAGCCAAAACTGTACAAACAATGTATATATTTTGCATTTAAGATAAATGCAAAATACTTCTTACTCTGTAAATTCTTTAAATCTTGAACTCTTCAGAAAGGGATTTTATGAGTACTTAATTGACTGTAGCATGTTTTAGACATTTCTAATGTACAGTACTGTATTTAAAACATGCAATCAATGTTTATTTCTAAAGTTCAAAGTATTTTTATTAAGGCGTGTAAGGCTGGTGTATCTCTTTTAATCATAAATCCCTCTTTGAATTTATTGAAATAAAAAGTTGTATTCAAGGCAACAGATGTCTCGCATTTTTAACCACAATAATCCCTGTTTGTGGCAAAAGCTATTTCACTATAGGATAAATAAGTCAAATGTTTTATAGAGTAAATGATATTCAACACATTCAACAGTTTTGAGATGTGTTCTGCCATTTCTGCGAAAATTAATAATTTAAATTAATATGTTCAAAATAATATTAGTATGATTTTAAATAAAAATAATTCTGGTGGAAAACCTACAATCTCTGATAGAAATTGACATTCTGTAGAAAAATGACCTACTTTGATTAAAATTGACTCAGAAGTGGAAAAAACATAGAAAGTAGAAAACAATTATATAAAACCAGGTAAAATTATGTAAAGGATTTCAAAGTGATAATAGAAAAAACAGTACCAATTGAGTAGTTCAAAGTTTAGCTAAAATGTCAAAGGCAGTGATCAGATCCTTTGGGATAAAGAATGTATTCTTTTACCTGAAATAAATAGAATCAAAGCTAAATGGAGAATGGGGGCCTGGGGTCTGTGTGTGTACAGGAAAATGTGAAATGAGAGCAGGATAACCTTGGCTACAGTAAGCAGTAAAATCTGAAATTCCTAATAAAATATTAATATCAAAACTCAGTCTGATATCAGCCAAAATATTTATATTGGAATATATCGTCCTGCCTCTAAATCTTCAACATCAGAAAAACTGTTAGAAACACTGCTTTTGTTCACTTTCGTTTAAAGTTTATGTAACAAAAAATAGGTGAATTGTTCTCATATCTGATATTAATTATTCTTCTCTGTTGAGAAATATCACATAATCAAGACTTTTCTGTCATTCCATACTAAAAAGTAATAGAAGTATGTCTGATTAATTCTAAAATGGTATTAGGTCAATGTCGGTATCATCAATCCACAAAACTGTATTATCCTATATTATTATTGGAAATGAAAATGTTATATCAAAATAGACTTAATTTTTTGCCACCGTCACTGCCAGAGTTTGACCAGTCCACTTTGACCGACAGCCAATCATTGCAAATAAAGGCCTGCAAAGGGTACTCTGCACCCATCCTTCATATCGGTAAGGTGGGAGATCCTTAGTCAAAGAGCTATGACATCATCCGTCTACCAAATGGCCTTCAAAGATGGCAGCCCCTTAAATTGGACGCAACACCTCTGACCACAAACACACCAGAAGGTCAGCAGAATTATGGCAGCCATCCAGCAGGTAAACCTTGGACTTTAAGTCAAAAGAAAATTTAAGAAAGTATGTTTCTGAGGGAAAACTAAGGAAGGCAGGAAAGCTCTTCAGTTTTCCTGGTTCAGAAAGAAGTTAATGGTTGATGTTGGTCAACTAAATGCAACATGGATGGGAAGCAAATCTCAAAAACAAAGCCGAGAAACTGAAATATTAATTCAGTGTTTCAGAGGACAGATACATTTTCACAGGAAATGATTGATTTTGTAAAAACATTTTAGCAGTCAAATTTCACAATTTTCTTTCCTTTCTATAGAATCATTCATTACAATTAGAATAATTTTGTAAAATAACTCATAGTTTCAGGCTTTCATCAGAGGGATGTAGATACTAATGTCTGGGGCAGGAAGGATCACTGAAGGAAGGTTAATTCATTATTCTATATGCTTTGATTTGGATAGAAAGTAGATAAAATACCAAAAGGTAACAAAGCTTTACCAACATTTCAGTGCTTTCTGAAAAGAGCTGCATGTCCATAGAGGAGTAAGCAATGGTAAAAATACCTTTTCAAATTATGTTTTTACATTATTCAGTATACAATGTAGAAATACAGTGAATGGTGCATGTTGTGTTCTATAATACGGTGATGTTATTTTGAGTAACACTATAAGATATACACAGTAAATTCCACAATGTTAAATATGCAGTGTCAAAGTACATTGACTCTTTAAGAGTTATTGCAACAACAACTGGAGTAAGATATGCACTATGTTGAGAGTTAATTTTACACTAATTCAGGGTGGGACCAAATGCACTTGGATTGGTGTTAAAATCAACTCTTAAAGTATTACTTTATTACTGCAAAATTTATGGTGTAGAGCCCTTAATGCATTAATGCAGCAGATCACTATACATGAAACTGACCTTTAGAGCAGCTGAATGCAGATTGCATTGACTGACAGACACTGCTCATAAATAAACAATAAATTCTACACTTATCTGCAGCTCTTCAATGAAAGAGGTGAAACATACTAAAACATTTCCCTCCTCATTTAAATTTCATTATAACCAAACACAAAGAAAGGCAGATCTGAAGCAGCAGCTGATAACACTCTGTCACACCCATTCCTGACTCACTCAGAACTGCAACCTGAGGTGAAAGGCATCCTGGGAGGCTGTGACAGGTGCTTAAAGTCCATCAGCTGCTTTATGGCAGCTGGAGGGCGGATATCAACAGCAGCAATCTGCAGTTCATTGGAGAGATGACGCATTGGATGGGGATGAGGAGGTGACGGTTTGACAGAGTGGTTCTGATACAGCAGCCTCTACTGTCTCTGTAGCTCATGCAGATGTCTCCTGCAGGCAAATTTCTACATAAACCAGGCCAGTTTGGTCTTTTTTATTCCATCATGTTGCTCCAACACTATAAAGAACAAATCTCCCAGCTTATCCATCACTAATCCTTCTTTTCCTTACAAACATAAGTTCTCCTCTCCTTCCTCAAGGTCACACTGAAAAAGATGCTAGGGGTCAAAATCCAGCAGCAATAAAGATGATTATTGAATTAAGAACTGGCAGCAGAATAAAAGTCACAAACTCCCAAGTCAGGGAGCCTTTATAGGGGGACCAGTGGAGTAAAAGCAGTTATTTGGAGTAATACTTACATTATTTCTACTACCGTATTTTCACGACCATAAGGCGCACCGTACTAAAAGGCACAGTCTCAGTTATGTGTCCCATTTCAGTATTTAACACACACATAAGGCGCACCGGACTATAGGGCGCGTTTTTTATATACAGGTGCATGTCCTCTACTACCTTTAAATACCTCTACTGCGTATTTAAAAATACAGCGGGGGCAAAACTGAGTATGACTGTGCTTTATTCATGTATTTATTACAAAGTATTAATCAAACCTGGCAGCTGGCCGTGAGTCAGACACATCGCAGATGACACAGCGCTGTGGTCACTCCTAAATTAACTTAAAATCCTGAAACCTGCCGACGGAATATGTTCGCTTTTATTACCGGTATCCTGGTGCCTGCAGCTAAAATTATTTAGATGAAAAACACCTGCCAGCAGCCGCGGTGAACGAAAGGATTTCTCCTGTCGGTGCACCGCTGGTATGTGGGGGTCTGAGCGCCTCCGACAGAAATAGATAATCTGGATGAACTGACTGCAATTATTAAGTTTTCAGGTGGCCTTTCTCACTTAAAAACATATTAAAACTACTTTATTCCCACTGATCACAGCAAATATAGCTGCAAGATTTAGATTATTTAGATGAAAAAACACCTGCCAGCCGCCGCGATGAAGAGGAGGAGGAGACCAGAGGCTGCTGTTGAATTAAGCTTTCAGGTAGAAAAATAGAGCGGGAGCAAAACTGAGTATGATTGTGCTTTATTCATGTATTTATTACAAAGTATTAATCAAACCCATCAAAGTCATCATCCTCTGTTATCCTCAGCATTCCTCTGAATAAAACAGCTGCGCTAAATCAGACATGCCAGTTTCCCCTTCTTCGCTGTCAGTCACTTTCCGTGCAGCGCAGCTCCTCAGAAATAATGCCGGCTTTTGCGAAAGCTTGAACAACAGAGCCAGCAGACACAGTCCATCTACAATCCATCCGCAAACGGTGGCGTAACTTGCCCGGCGCTGCCTTCCATTTATCATAAAACTGTGGTCTCAGTCTGTCATCCATCGCTCCCACGCCGCTCGCAGCCTTACTGTGAACGGCCGCTTCACACCGATGTCGAGCGGTGGAAGTTCCTTTGTCAGACCCACAGGGATAACGGCGAGCACAGCGTTCATTTGATTCATCTTTTTTTCACATCGGCTGTGAGATGGGCACGCAGCGATGGTGATGCGTGGAAAAAAACACCTAGTCTTCTCACATACACCTGTCTCAGCCACGCATCCACCCAGCCTTTTCATTTGCGTTAATATCATATGTCATCAGAGCGCCGTGCCTGTCTCGCTGCCAGCTCCCAGATCTGCTTCTCTGATTGGTTGATGCGGCAAAACTTCAATTTTTCCAGCTTGAGCAGCAGCAGCGCGTTGGCGGTGCATCAGATGCTTAAACGCTCCCGACGTGCTGCACCAAAACGCGCTGCAGGACCTTTTGCTGCACCTATATGCGCGTCAACCATTGACTTTGCATGTAAACTCGCTGCTTCTGCTGCACCTGCTGGGTCCGGTTCACACCGATGTCGAGCGGTTGAACAGCGAGCACAGTGTTAATTTGTTTCCCCATGTTTTTCACATCAGCTGTGAGATGGGCACGCATGGAGTTACAGATTAATGGTGATGAGTGGGAAAAAAACAGCTGGTCTCCTTACATTCAGCCACTCTTTCATCATCTCCTCAATGAGGTGGTCTCAAAAGTCGCAGTTACAACACACATAGGGCGCACCGCACCATAGGGCGCGCTGCACATTTTGAGGGAAAAAAAAGACGTTTAAGTGCGCCTTATAGTCGTGAAAATACGGTACATGCAACAATTTTGCTACCTTGAGGTAGATTTTTGCAAAATAGTCTAGAAATGTTACAAGACCTAACACCTCCATCCATTAACCACTGAGAAGAAATCTATTATTGTTGATTCTTTTTGAGCTCAAATGAAACTATGTGTGTCCTTATTGTCAAATACAAAGACCCAAAGACCTGTATATGCTCAGAAGAACAATGATTTCTTTTTTTTTTCTTTTTTTGGTAGTAAAAAAAAAACTACAGGTTAAAGACATTTTGGAACTAAAAAGCTATGTTCAGTTTGGACAAACAGTTGAGTAGATCCTTACAGCGGCCTCTGCAACAGGAATAGTTCAAGAATGGGCCAAAATCTAAACAATAAATCCACAAAAGGTTTAAAAGTTTGCCACGTACACCACAACACTCTTCATCTATTTATAGACACGGTTAAATCATTTTGGTTATAAATGGCTCTATATTAATTCTTTGTATTGCTTGCGTGAATTATGCAGAAATATTTGCATGATAAATAGTTCTTGTTACTAGTCCTAATATATGTTTGTATCATTAGTGGCAGAAGGTGCAGCTTTGTGTTTTTAAACTATAGATCCAAACGAAATCCGCAAAATTAGGGTAAATCTGCCCATTGTCATGCATATTTAATTAGTAAGAGAGAGACTGTTACCATGGCTCATTTTCTCACCTTTAATTTGATTCATCTTAGCTCTTTTTTTTTAAAGATTGTAATATTTCAGATTGCTGCTGAAATCTCCAGACCTTCAAAATGTTCTTACAGTAAGGGACCAAAAAAAAAAAGGAAAATGTTTAGTGCTTCTATCTTGAATGTTTTTATATAAATGATAGTATTGAAAAGGCAGCATTAGCATGACTAAGTGTTTTCTGTTTTTTGGTCTGTGGTTAAACAAAAAGGCAATCAAAATATCCTCTCTGCAGCTTCCTGTAAGTGAATTGCTTTAGGTAGGAGAGTGGTGTCTAAGACAACATTAGACACCCTCTCTAACCACTGGCCTCCTAAAAACTTGAACTATGATATCTAAGTCAAACTCAAAAGCACGATCTGGCCCTGATAGCTGGGCTGAACCGTATATAAAGAAGAAGGAGCAGGTGGATCAGATGAATGATAATTAGCAAGCAGGGAGGAATGGGTAGGTTATTGAGATGATCAATTGGATCAGCTATCTGGGCAGATCATGACAGTACACCTTTAAAATAATAATCTATTTCAATTCTTCAAATTAAATAAGTGTTATTTTAGCAAAAGGCATATTGAATTTCTTGTGCAAGTAACTCAAGTTTTAGCTTATAAAAGATTCACTCTCTTATGCAAATTATATAAGCAACATATTCAGTTTATCCTTGACTGTAGACATTTTATTAATACTTAAACTGCGCACTCGCTGAACGTGTGAGAGACTGTGTGTCATGCAGTATTAATCCTTTTAACTAATTCCAAGTTTTGCCAGTTATTGAAGCTTGTATGAGGATGTTGGTTTGCCTTTTTCACCATAACAGATTAAAACATGGTATGTCTTATTTTACAAGAACATTTTGAGTGTTTGCCAAAACCAATACCAAAAAGTTAGAAAAGATTTCTTACTTAACCTCTTTAATGATATTAAACAATGTAGGCAGGGCAAAATGAAACACCCAACATATATATTGAACAAAATTTGTAAGAGCAGAAGCAAATTATTCATCTTTCATAAAATTACCCCAGTAGAGGATTACACTCTTTGAACATTCAGACTGTCGTAATGATGCTTTTTATACACCTAGTATACACCTTTTATATCACCTAGTAAAAACATTTAATTTGAGAAAAATATAATCTCTTATTTTCTTTAGTCCTGAAAATACAGACATTGGATAAATAATTTTAGAAACACCTAGTTTCTAGTCAGTATCAACGTTCTTATATTTCAGATGCTGCTTTCCAAATTATTCATCACACTCCTCAGATCTGATCCACACTAACACATCATCATTTTACATTATTGATTGTTAGGCAAAGAGCATTCTAAAAATCAGCCCAAAGTCCGATATCTCTCGCCAGAAATCTATGGAGGACAAGTTCATCCTCTATATAAAACATTTAGGCCGATAAAGTGAAGGAAGAGCATACCTGATTGTTTTGAGCATGCTTAGTCCCATCTCCACACAGCAGTGAGCATGGTCAGGTCTGGGCTCAGGTAGGCCAGATACACAGTAGTAACAGTCTCCCAAAATCTTTATTCGTAGACAGTGGTGCTCCTAGAAGGGGAAGAAAATTAGAGATGTGCTTGAAATTGATTATTTAAAAATATATTTATGCCCACTGTCCCTTCAGTTATTTACATTAACCGAAACAGAAAGAGAGAGGAATGTACATAGAGAATATTATATATGAAACCTTGGGATACAAACAGCAATTGCATGGTGTTCCTTCCTACCTTCTTCCTGGAGACAATTTTCATATCAGTTTCAATCAGCTACCAGAGATTAAAGGTATTATCCATACTTTTATTTATCACATGCCTTTTACATCCCTCCACATTTTACTTGATCTACACCTAAAGTGTTCAGACTGAGATGATGCTCATGCTACTTCCAGTGCTAACAATACCATGTTCTACTGACATGAATATTACAAATCTATAAACTCAAAACCTGACTTAGTGGTATATGAGCAAGATTTTCTCTATAACATCAACAGAGGAGCAGTTGAAGCAAGAGAATATTAAATTAATTAGCTTTAAATGGTAAAATGAAATGTGTTATCACTGCATTTAAAAGGTAATTCAATTTAATCCTGCTGAGAAGTTTGATTTAGGAAAAAAAAAAAATATATATATGTTTTACTTTAAATATTTAAAAATTTACCTGTTTCTTCCCATCACTAATAAGGTAGTTTAAATAATAGGAAGCTAACGCTGAAATATACATTTAAGAAGATTAAAAACTATACAATTATAGGATTATAAATGCAAAATACCTAGAATAATTAAAATAATTTAGGAGGAAGTGTAAACTAAAAATATTCTAATTTCTGATCATAATTAGCTGTTTTCCTAATCTAATTTGAAAAAGATTATTTCTGCACTGCATTTGCTGTCTCTATTAATTAAAAAAATCAAGATATGAGTTATTAATAGCAAACTACACCTCTTAAAAAAACTTTAAAAATCCTAGGAAAAATTGGAGTTCAAACATAAGTGCATAAAGAGGCAGAAGATGTTTCTCTTACGTGTGCAAGACGGTCGAAACGTGCGAAGAGTTCATTCAACATTCGTACTAGCTCCTGAGCAGAGAGCGTCGTGGAAAGGTTTGTGAAGCCTTTAACATCTGCGAAAAGAATGCTGAATAAAATATAGAAATGTCACTTTCAGATCCAGGTTAAATAGAAAGTACTGATTAAACTCTTTCAGTTTCATATGTCAAAAAGGTAGTCAGTAATTCAGTATAAGCGTGTCAAAGCGCTGTGTCTGTATGGTTGGTTATGGGATTATCAGCGGAATTTAATCTCAATAAATTAAAAAAATAAAGGTGTATATAAAAGGTAACACAGAACTCATCATCCTTCTGATTGAATGCGAGATATAGACTTTTTTTGTGCAGAAATGACCTGTTAGGATTTGATCAGAAAGAGGAGAAACATTTACATGTTTGGACTGATCTTGGATTAAAAGCGGAAGTTGCTCACCTGACATTCTCATAGCGGTGGATGTAAATTCTGTGGAACTGATGCTGGAGGTGTTCATCCTCTACATTTGTCATGTCGTTGATCATTTCTAAAACTACAAAACGTGGCAGCACAGATAACACCAGACGTTCCTGGGTAGGGAGGGAAGAAAAGAGATGCTATAATGTGCAGACTGCAGGAATGTTTGCTGTTTTCTCATTTCTAAAGCCTCTAAAGTCTCAAAATATCAAAACAGCAGAAATTACTTTTGAAAGCTGTAATAATACAACAGATTGAGAATCAGCTTGAGAATAAAAGTGAAGTCAGAAGTTAACATATTTAATAAATATAGGGTCTTAATATCTAATTAAATAAAGGCTGTGAAGGTTTGTGGATGTTGGACTGATTTTCTTTGTCCCTGAGCACAGTTTAAATGGTACCAACCTTCTCCAATCACAATGGAAATGACAAAAAGCTTAAACATATCATTGGTTCTTTAAAGCAAGACACAGATAAACAACCTTAAAATGATCAAAGCTCAAGCTAGAAGAGGATTTAGTGGATGGCTTTTATCAGACTGACTGACTCAGTTCAATGGCCAAGTCCACATAACTCAGGAAAGATCCAAGAATAACATTTTTAGATGCTGTATAGGGTGAAATGTATCATTTTAACATGTGATTGAAGTATTATTGTAAAATATGAGGATGGTGATCACATCTTAAATATATTTTCCTCACATCTGTCTTTCTTTTCCATCAGCTCAACATTCCCGCCAATCTCTTTGATCCTTAACGTGACGTGAGTCACTGAAATATGGTATTAAGGGTAGGAAATTGCCTTTTTGATGAAGAATTTTTGTGACTATTATATTTTACATGACATGTTAAATGTAAAAGCGACTCAAACATTCATCTAAGCTGTCCATTCGGATTGCAAAATTGCTTGTTGATATTGCAATCATGATTACAGTCATAGCTTCCCTCTGTCAACGATCATGTTAATAACCATTATGAGGCAAGATTTCACACTACAGCCAAGGATTGAGGGGATCTGCTTTGGGGGCCAGCAGATTTAGTCTCTGCTTTTTGCAGATGATGTGGTTCTGCTGACGCACTCCTACCAAAACCTACAGCATGGATTTTATTTAATTCTGGGGTCCTGGTTCTCCACTGCAAAAAGGCTCAGAGGAAAGTTCCTGCTTCAAGTGGGGGAGTTCAGATATTTTGGGATTCTGTTCACGGGTGAGGAGCACTCAATAGACAAATCATTTGTCGTGAAGACAGAGTTGAACGAAAAGCTCTCGATTTACCAGTTGTTCTATATGTTCCTACTTTCCCCTTTGGTCATAGAATCTACATCATGACCACAAGAGCAAGATCCCAAATACAAGTGGCTGAAATACACTTTCTCTGCACGGTGGCAGGGCACTCCCTTAGAGGTATGAAGAGTAGATCAGTCATCTAGGAAAGGCTCAGGGTGGAGCTGCTTCTCTTACGAGTCAGCCAAGGTGGCTCAGACATCTTTTCTCATTGCTGTCTGGATGCCTCAGGTCCATGGACACGGTCCAGGACATGCTTTAGTGATCCATGTCTCTCAGCTGGCCTCTGTACCTGTCAGGCATCCCCCAGAGGAGCTGGAGGAGGTTTCAGCAGTGAGGGAAGCTCGGTGTCTGATCAGACTGCTGCCTTCGCAACCCAGAATATGTGAAATGAGATGTGCAAGTAAGAGTTACAGATGAGTACAGTATATTGCGGAGCTTTGATTTACACAAGTCTTTAGGATTTTTTTATCACCGCCTGCAAATTCCAAGGTCCATCAGTTCACACCAGAGGATGTGAGTCATTGTTAATATTAGATAATATTCACTAAAGTCTGGATAAAAATGTAAGGTTTCTTCATCAGATGAAATGACACTGGAGGGGAACTTCAGGAAGACAAAAACCCGAAGTTTGCTTCTTATGAATAGGTCAATTTAACAAGTTTAATGTTAGATGAAATAAAGATCTGGCCTAAATGAAAATAAGCATGAAGACGAGACAAGGTGGGGCTTTCCATATTAGAACAATGTACTAGCAGTCAAACATGTGGTAGCTTCACGATTTAGTTTTTTTTTTTTTTTGCCAGTGGTTTTGGTTAACTGCTAAATGTGAAGGAGGACAAAAACAACTGGATGATGCATCAAGCTGAGGATGGCATTCCTAAAGGCTCAAACTCAACCCTGTAGAAAATAAAAGGTCTGTGTTTAAAAGCTTCTTATTTCCCAGGATATCAATCAGTTTAAAGTTTCTTAAGAGCTGCTGTGATTTAATATCTGGCCTGGGTGAAGCCAAAAGCCTGAAAGGCAGCTTGTTAAAGGACATTTAATCAAATATTAATTCAAATGTATCTCATATTAGAGCCAGGGTTGATAATTTTGACTGGTTAGGGATTATTTAGGTCATAATCAAATGATTTGGTTAAGTTGTAAAATCCTTTCAAACTTGATAAGTATTACCTAAAACAATGAGACTTTTGTTCCAATTGAAAACAAAAGCAGACGAATAAAATAATTGAAACAATAGTTAAGTTTTTTTAAATGTAAAAAAGAAATACGGTATTTAACTGAATTTACAAAAGAAAAGCTAAAGTTTAGGGGCACAGAGGGCACATAGCATACACCAAAGAGTTTGGATCTGCAGCAGCAATTTAATTGTTCCTTTCCTCAGGCTTAAGCCTTTCCAAGAAGGATCTGTAATATTTATCTCAACATTTATTGCATATTTTTCCCAACCAACCATCAAACTGGACTGCTGTCAAAAAGCAGCCTCTGCTTTTGTTTCAACAGGACAGAAATACAAGAAACAAGACAACATGGCCAGGTGAAGCTTGTAAAAACAAATAAATTACATTAAATCAGCAAGCCTGAGATAGCCAGGACGATCCTAAAGAAGCCTCAAGGCTTGCAGAAAAAAAATAAAACGATTTGCTTTAATTTCTCTAAACAACGTAATGCCAGTTTGCAAATGCAGGAACAGATTTAATGTGGGCGCATCTCTCAGAGACTCTTTCTGGCCATTGAGATCTGCAACAAATCCAGGCAATTGCTTTCCAAAAATACTGAAAAGATGTATATTTGAAGAAGGGACAAAATAATCCACATTCTTTTCTACAACAAAACCATTGGAAGAAATTACTCCTCAATAAACTGGTTTTAAAGTTTTCTGCAGACAATGTCTCATTATTTGTCTCTGTCCTGTAAAAATCAGAATTTTGTAAATGTCTCATTTAAAAAAAAGAAAGTTCAGGCAGCATTAATACATGTGCTTTTATGCTGTATGTAGCAGAGAGAAAAACACAGCACGTTCTGTTAATTTATCAGACTTTGTTTTCCTAACTGAGAATTTTCCCTAACAAATAAAAAATGCTAAATTATGCGCTCTCAGTGACGCTGCATTAGGCTTTCTGGAGCTCTGAAGAGCCTCTTGAGATCTCAAGCATAGGGGGACAGCGCCAGAAGGTGAAGCTGGATAATAGTTTAGAGATGGTTTGATCTGCTCGGTCACACTGAATAAAAACCAGCCCAGCGATGGTGGGACATCACATCTCTGTTCCTCTGTGGCAAAACCACTCTAGGGAGAAGGCAATCTGCATGTCACAATCTGCATCTAGGACTTATTGTTTAAGGAAACACTTTCACTAAATGGTTTTCTCTGCTGATAAAGTGCATTTAAAAAACAAAATTTGAACTCAATCTAAATTACTATAGTTCTATTTTTCTTAAAATAAAGGCCATGCTGTACATATTCCTGTAAAGCTGGAGATGCCAACAGGTTGTGTACAGCTGATACTTGATGATTCAAAAGTTTGGAATAAAATGCAACGAATCAACTAATCTAAAAAACCTGTTATTTGTCATGATTTTAGTCCTGCCCTGTTTGTGCTCACTTTCTCCTGATAATCACTGATTGTTCCCACCTGGGCTGCTCCCTATTTAACCTCCTGCTCTGGGTGAGATCTTCTGTCTTTTTACACATCTGTTTTGTGAGCCAAGAATTATCCTGTTCCTTGACCCTGCCTGTCCCTGACCGCTGACCCTACCTTTGAGTGAATTGTGTTTTTTCTGATTGTTGCTGAACCTGATCTTGATTAAGCCCACTGGATTTTCGAAACTTCTCTGCCTGAGCATGACCTTGAACTGGAAAAGGATTTCAAACTGAAGGATTGTGGATATCAGTACCTCTGCTCTCTGTAAGCGCCACTCCCCAAGCCATCAAGGTTCCATTCTTAATTGGAGCTGAACCTGGTAATTCAAGTTTATTTTTAAAATTTTTTGAATCTTCAGTCAGGACTCATCTCTATTTTGGTGTTCCTGGACCACTAGGTACACTCTGACAGGATCTTTGCTTTGTTGTGTTTTCAAATAAATGCTTTACTCAATGTTTGTTTTTGGCTGAGTGTTGAGTTCAGGCCTCCTCTGAAATCACAACATTATCTAAAAAAAAATGACCTATTTTTCTTATTTCATCTCTATAAAACAGCAATCCTGTTAAGGTCCCATATTGTAAAAAATTTATATTATAAACATTTTCTAATAACCATATGAGCCTGTGTATGAGGTCAACAAATGAAAAAAAAAACTCTTCCCCTTTGCTCACTACGTGTTCCACCTCTTTGCAAATATGTGCTCAAAATGTTCTGTTGTTCTTATTATTCTTCTCCAGGTTTAATAGTAATCAGCAACCAACTTAATAGAGCATTACCACCACTTAAAAAATCAGTATGGGTCAGATAATAGACTTACAATCTACACACAACACAACAGCAAACCCTACTGTAAGCCCTGTCTCCTTTAAAAATGACATAAGAACACTAAACTGTGCTCTATTACAACAACCAAACATACTCTCTAAACTCAACTCAAAGCACCTTGCACCCTAGACTCTGTAATCCTTTCATAAACCCACAGAAACTGAACCTGACTGCCCAACTGACTCATTTTCTAGATCTAATAAGGATGGTTGTAAAATAATATCCTGATGACTATTTAACTGAAATGTTATGTTTGAAAGAACTGAAGATGAGTCAAAAAAAAAAAAAAAAAACCAGCATCTTACTTAATTTTGCACTTTTCTCACTGTAACGCCACAAAAATTGCCACCATTTCCAGAGT